AGTAAAGCTATTTCCATGGTTCAAAAATGCAAACAATGTAACAAGGTACACAGTTACAGGTCTCTCTCTGGTCCGTGCCCACATCTTTCCTACTTCCAACCTCTCCCTCCTCCCTCCTCCCACCACCTCGTCTCACCCCATCCTGTCAATAGAGTAGATTTTCATTTTGGTTGGAGACGGATGACTGGGCCGGGCTAAGGCTGCAGGTACGCTGCTCACAACTAGAGGCAGACCTTGCTCACCTGTAAGACGGACCACTAGACCCAGCAGAGACAAGCGACAGTGAGATACAATGAAAAGAACAGGAGAAAGGAGTGGGTAAGAGCCCCAGCTCAGGAGCCAGCACATCTCACCGTGCGAGAAAAAGCTCAGCAGATTAAGAAAAAGTTGTTCCATGCCCACTGAACTTCCAACTTAAGGAGAGCAATTTATACCACATTTGGAAAGAGAGAGTAAGACGGTGACTGGGAAGGGAAGGCTTGGTGAAATGCTGGAGGAATCTCAAACAGTAAAAATAACGTTTATGGTATTATTGAAAATGATAAGCCTGCAAGTACCGGTGGGCAAGTCCTTTCTTTTGTTGTTGTTACTGTATGACTGGTTTTCACTGAATCGTTCTCTCATGTTAACCACTCATTGGATAACTTTATTCTACGCAGAGAAAGTCTAAAATGTAACTGAGAACCACAGTTCTAATATTAGCATGTGCACTGGGTTGAATAATGCCCCCCCCCACCGAATTGGTGTCTGCCCAGAACCTGTGAATGTGACCTGATTTGGAAATGGGGTCTTTCCAGGTGTACTCAGTTAAGAGGACATACTGGATCAGGGTGGACCCCAAATCCAATGACTAGTATCCTTGTAAGGTGAGACCCAGCGACACAGAGACACACAGGGCAAGGCCACGTGAAGACGGACGGAGAGGCTGGAGTGATGCAGCCTCAAGACAAAGAAGGCCAGGGATGCTGGCAAGTGCAGGACGGAGGAAGAGTCAAGGGAGGAGTCTTCCCTGGAGCCTCGAGAGAGAACACAGTCCTGATGACACCTTGGGTTCAGGCTTCTCTCCCCCAGAACTGCGAGAC